TAGAGATGATATTTTTATTAGACCAACAAGATTTTTGGAAAAAAAAATTATTTAGAAATGATTCATCGTTTAAATTGAGATGTTTATTATCCTTATGAGAAATGATCATCTACTCGAAAAATAGCTGCACAACAGAAAGGCACAGAAAAAGCTCTCAAGCATTAGAGGTTTCCTCCAATTAATGTGAATCATCTGCAAATGTAGAGAGACTGGAAACATGAAGCCTTTCTTGCTCTGGGTTCTTGTGTAAGTCAGTAAATAGCCAGATAAGCCTTTTTCCATAAGGACCTCAACTAAGCCCCAGGGCTTTAAACCTCCAAAGAGTTTGTGTCTACAAGTCATTGAAAAGCAAACAGCATCACCATGCTTTCTGAGGAAGGACTACAGAGCACAAGAGGCTTCTGACCTGCAAATAACCAGAGAATCAGCTCTCAGAAAGCTCCTCGCTGTGCTGACTAGCCCCCAGGAAAAAAAACCAGCACTGGGTTTTCTTTCTTGTGAGGATGTTGGAAAGGTGAGGCTGCTGCTGGTGGTTTGGGAGAGACTGTCTTTAAGGGATCGCCATGGGTGAACGAAGATAAAACCCTTATCTCCGACTTGAGCAGGACCTTGAGGGTCATAGCCTCTTGACATGTATGTAGGGTCATATACAACTTGATCTAGGGGGGGCACCTTGCAATTTGGGCAAGGCTGTGGTGCATGCCTTCACTCCATCGCTCTGCAGGTTGGATGCAGATGTAGCAGAGAGCCTCCCTGGTACATTGCCCTTATGGACATGGGTGTAACAGCAGCCCCCTGGTGCCTGCACACCCCCCCCCCCTCATTTTGTGCATTTCTTTTCCTTCTCAGTATTGGCAGAGACCTAGCACACTCATTGCATGGGGGTGGTGAGACACAGAGCCAGCCAGAAAGCTGACATGCCTTTCTGTAGGAGTCATCTAGAAACTACATCTACGTCTCAACTAAGCTCAGTGTCACTAATGAAAACAAAAGAACTAAACTATCCACTGCAAAAACTAAATATATCCTGGTGCTAACCTAACTCACTAACTGTCCCCAGTAGCCTTTGATCCTCACTACCTCACATTGCATTTTTATATATTTCTCACCGTGCATTTTCATATTTCATCTGTCTCATCTCTGTCATGGCATTTTGTATTTTATATGTTATACTTTTAAACTCTTAAGGAATGTACTTAAGGAATGGTCCAATGTTATACCCTGGGCCATTGGTAAAACTGCATTGAAATTGTAGTTGTAAAGCGATAAAGTCTGTTGGGTGAATGATGATCATCAGTAGACAATAGCCTAGCCCAAAGGACTCCGTTTTAAGCTAAAATCCTGACTCCTGGAACAGCGGATCTACAGGGTCTCGGATAGGTAGATATACTGACACCAGCGCTCACAATCACTACAGCAGCCACTGCATGCATACTATACTACATGGGTTTGAATGAGTGTGTGTGTGTGTGTGTGTGTGTGTGTGTGTGTGTGCGCGCGCACTGAGGTGGCCAGTACCTCCCATAACTCAATGTTTGCATTTATGATTTTATTGGTAACCTCACATCCCATCCAATAAACTAGAATTTATTATGATCCCGTGAGCTGGTCCTTTGCAGCCGACACAGAAAAGCCGTGAATTCACGGGCTCGCCCACCACAGCTCTACTGCCATGAACTGGATCTGCCTCTTCTGGCCTTGTGCCTCTTTGTTTCCCAGAATTTTTCTGCCACTTGATGTGCCTTTGCTTGGAGTTTAAACCCTTCATTTTCTACACAGACAAGACGTGGCATCACCCCTGCTCTGTCAAACCAAAGATGCTCTCCCAAAATGCAGCTGGTTGGCCAGCGGGGAGCACCAGGGCTTCTTGTTAACCTGTCAAGACTATTTCTGGGAGTTTGATTGGGACATAGAGACAAGAAGATCACTGGCCCACCTTGAAGCAGGTGGAGAGGTTGAACTTCTGGCGGCTTAGACAGTAGTGATGGGACCAGTCCAGTGGCTTGAGCAGCAATATCATACATTCTTTCTGCACTTTGAGTCCAGAACCCATCACCTCCCATAACCGCGCCTGCGCTCGGCTTGAGCAGGGGGGTGGATGCACAGCGAGCAGGGGGATGCTATGGAGGGGGGACACCAGGAGCAAGCTGTGGTCAACTGAGATCAACCCACAAGTCTGCTAACATTGCTCTGTCCAGCATCCTGAGCGCGCTGTCTGCAGACCTGTGTGGGGCCGAGCCCCGGCGAGGGGCCGTGCAGGGACAGGACACAGGTGCTTGGCTTAACAAGTGTCACCCTGGTGTGTTGTTGCTGCGTGGGCTGTTAGTGTAGAAAGGGAAGGATTCCCAGCTGTATGGCTGATAGTATTTTAATAGAGGATCTTGTTTTCCCTAGGCCCTTTAGTCTGGGGGAGAAGTCACACAATTACTTTCTGTAATTCACCGTCCTTCTCCGTGCTCCCAAGCCTGTGCGTGCAGTGTGGTTGCTGAGATTGGGGGGCTGCAATTTAACTCGCATGCTCTTTCATCATGCTGCCTTTGCAAGTTTAACCACCCCAGGCGATCCACAGACCTTTTTCCAAGCACTTGTTTCTAGTAAATGGGTCATGCCGATGTGCTGAGGTTCATGTCCACTTCTCCCGTGAAAGCATTGACCACGGATAATAGCTCCATTGGCCTGTATAATGCGATAACAGTCTTAGTGTTAACAGTCCCTGGGCACTGCTCCTTGCTCTCTGTTCAGTGTTTAGCAGAGGCTGTCCCAGGGGAGGGTGTTTTTCATTTTGCTGCTTTCAGTCCTTGTCTCCTCTGTGTGTGGATGGAGGAAAAGTCCCTGAGGATATCAATGGATGCAGTCCTCAGCCATACAGTCTCCAGGATAGTCCTCCTTTTGCAAAAAACTTTTGGTGCTTCAGGACAGAAGAGATGGTGTGTCACCACTATTGACTTTCTGTTGCCTATACCCCAGCTTTTTCTCTCAAGGCTGCTTCAATTTTTTTGCTCAGTCCTGGAAGGTGATGCTGGAGAGCCATTCACATAGTAGTCAATCAGTCACTGAGGCTAGGTACCAAGGGCAACTTCTGCAAACCCAGTTTGGCAACTCATTCAGACCACCCCGTTAGTTGATATGCTGCTCTTTTACCAGGAACCTAAAAATCTTTTGCATACCCTCACAGAGCCCACTTCTGAAATCCCACTCTCCTTCCCAGTGTGGGCCTTTCAGTGTACTTGTCCTCAGTGGATTTGCAAGCTTGAAAGCCAGATTGAAGCCCAGGAGGAGAAAAGGCTCTCTGGGCAGTTAAAACTCCCTCCAAACTGTGCCATAATTATTTGTCCAAATTGTTTGGAAAGGTGCTGAGAGCAATTTGCACTCCACGTGCCAAGCTCTTGTTCTCCCCCAACATTTGCACCTATTGCTTCTGAGTAGCAGATTTCATCCATGAGAAATGCAGATGTATCAAATATGGCAAAAGTGCATCCTTCTGCTACAATGGAAATATGTTCCCTCCCGGCCACCCCACATTACACAAAGGGCTTTTTAATATCTGTCTCTCACTGCCTTGTCTGGCACTTTGATGTCTGATGAGGCTGGACAGGCAGCAATGAGGTATGGGAGATGGTTGCACCGGTGCAATACGAAAGTGAAGATTAGGAGGTGCTTCTGATGGCAAGAAAAATGCAGGATGAGGCTGAGAGACTCCTCAATCAGGAGCAGACTCGTGTGCCTTCAGCGTGGCTCTTCAGAGGTCCCAGCACCGGTGCCTGTCTGCAGTGCCAGTGTCTATTTGTTTGGTCTTTCTACCGCACGGAGGGTTTGGAAATCTCGGCGGTTTCTTGGGCAATTGATGGATGGACAGCTGCAATGGACTGGGATGGACTTCTGCCATCCTGCCCCCATGGTCTGGTATGTAGATGTGAGACTTGTTCTCAGGGGCAAAGAGAGAGCAAGGCACTGCAGGCACACAACGCCACTAGCACTGAGGCGGATTGCAATCTTTTCTCTTTTAATTTAGTTACAATTTTTGGTTTAGTTTTGGGTTCCTGACTTTGCGTGTTTATCACTGGTACCAATGTTCACACTGAGAAAAGTCTGAGTCCACTTTTGCATCATAGTGTTCATTAAAAACAGCACTTTCCACTGGTTAAGGAGCATCTTCTCCATCTAATGGTCCATTTCTTTATTTTTATTTTTACCTTGCTATATTTGTTTAACAAACTTTCAGTTTTCTGTGGGGTAAGGATTACTTTGAAAGCATTTTTTAAAAGAAATTAATACCTAATGTCATGCAAAAAAAGGTTTTATTAAACCCGCACTGTTTCAAAATCACTCGGAAAACACAATTACATATAGCCCTTCATGTAAGGGCCATAAGCACAGACGTTTTCTGTCTACGTAGCTCAGTGCAATCAGAAATGAACTATAGTAGTTTCTCCTTTCCACTGCTTAAAAAAAAAAACAGGCCACGACTAGCATAGACTTAAAATTAATAATAACAAAAAAGTTTAAAAAATAAAATAAAGTAAAGCAAATGCATAAATCAGAGTCTGAGCAAGCTAAATTAAGGAAATTAAATGTCACATGTCTTTTCATTCACTCGCACTCATCTTCACTTTGCTTTGCTGGGATGCGGCCCATCCTGGTATCTCTTATATAGCCCCTTTTTGCCTTTACAGGTTGTCTGAATTAGGCGAGCAAATCATCAGTCTTGGGATCCTTCTTTAACTTGCAGATGTTGTGCAGGGCACCGCAGACTGCTAGCACACCAGCAGCACAGTCTTTCCATCCACCTGTCAAGTGTGCACTCGACTGCCATCCCGTAGCCATTTAGCAGGTCACTGAATTTTTCCTCCAGGCCATACGAGGTCAGGGTTCAATTTCAAGCAAGGGAAAGTTAGGATTTCCCCCAAATACCAATTGCCAATGACACCCTATTAATAATAATGTCTCAGGAAGGGAATGCAGTCCCATCCTTTTTTCATTTAAATGTCCTACCACATCAGTATCTCGGGTGAAGAAGTCTTCCTGCATTTCCACTGTTGCTGTTGAAGACCTTTCCCGTGCTGCCCATCAACCCTTGAAGAACCAGTAAATCAGCATGTTTCCTCGCTTGGACAGATGAACAAATGGTAGGTACAGCTTTCATTTGTTTTGGAGCTTTTTTTCTGTGAAAGTTAAGGATTTCTGGTATTTTCCTTGTAAATCCCAGTAAGAATCATCTTGCAAACCCCCTTGCCACCATACCAGCACTTGACTTATCAATGTCCAACTGGCCAGCTGCAGGCCTATAATCATCTACAGAGTAGTCAGCTTCCTGGAAGGATAGTGTTAATCCACTTTTGCACTATTCCTCGATCAAGTTTTCTGGCTCTGAAGGGTGGGAAGAAATTGCTCCTGCAGCTCCATGAAGGTCTGATTCTTCAGCGGGGAGGTCTGTGCCCATTGCTGGTCATCCCAGATCAGTGGGAACATGTCATTTCACCATGTTCTGTTAATTCACCTGCTCCAGAAACACTGTGAAGATTGTGCAGCTATTGCTGGGATTATCTTGCCTGTTCAATGTCATTAGTATATTGTCACCCTGCTTGGAGCCCAGCAACCTTCCAGATCTCAGAAGGTCATGAAAGACTACCCAGCATTTCTTGGAGTGACTAGCTCAGGGCATGAACCGGCAGGTCAGAGCAGCTTTATGGCTGGTCCGTTGTTATGGACAGACATAAAGAAGAAATGTGCATGCAGGACAGGATGAGCCTCAGCTAAACCTGAGGGTGGGGAACATAAGGTCCATTGTTGGGGCGAAAGAAAGATGAGCTGCCCCCACAATGCAACAGAAGCCGGTGTCAACACAGGGTGTAGTCCTTAGAAATAGTAGTGAGGCATTCACTGGATTAATAGACACATAGGTTGTATTGTGTTCAGTAGTACAGTATGGACCACTGCAAGCAGGATTGCTTGGCTTGAGCCTGCAGGAACATGAGTGTGCAGAGCACTGTACGTCCACCCTCATAGATCCATAGATTCTGATGTGCAACACCAGCAAAGGATCTTGTCCGATATGCTGGGTCAACTCTTGTAACTCAGGGAGGATGCATAGGTTTGAAGGCAGAAAGCCATCCATGTTTGATGCTCTGTCTCACTGGACTCAAGTAGGACTAGTGGTATACAGCCAGGCCATGTGATATCCTAGATTCATCTCTACTTTCACTCTGCTTTTCACATTGACTTTTAGCTCTGTTTCTCTCTGTGCCTCTGTTTGTTTCTTGATCTATCGATTTCCTTCATAGCCTCATTTAGAGTGCTCTGTTTTTCTTGCTCTGTTGGGCACATTCTGTTCCAGTTGACTTTGCTTCATTATGTTTGTGTTACTTTGCTTGACTTCAAAGTGTCCCTACCTTGCTCTGGGTCTTTTTCATCCTTTTCCTTTTGGTTGCTATTATTTAAAAAGGAGAAGCATTTTTGAGTCTAACGTGTGGCTCCGGCCTGTGATGAGGCTTGGACAAAATGGACCATCTGGGAGCACAGTGGCTCAGAGATCCGCGTAGTAAATTTAGTTGATAAGATATGCTTTTCAATGGAGAATTGCAAACACACCAGGTCATCGGTCATAGAGTGACCCCTGTGATGCGCGGTCGGGGTGCCAAGAATAAGGAGGCTTATCTAGAAGAGATTCAGAAAGACGGGTGATGAGGTGCAAAAAGAAATACTGAACACCATGCACAACCCACCCGTCCCATTCAGGCACACCAAACCTTTTGTCTGATCTCCGCACTCAGCAACCCAGTGTGGGGAGGTGGAAGTGACAACGAGGCATGGGGGATTAAAAGGAGGTCAGATAGACCTGAGTTGAGGGCTTTGGGGTTGTATGGCTACAGTTAGGCAATCTCCATCTCCAGGGGTATCCATCCACCTTTGCCCTCCTCCCCCCAACCCAAATGACTGGGTACCCCCTCACAGCTCAAATAAGAACGGTACACATTTGTGTCAGGGATATTTGCCATGGCACATGTGCCTGAACGTGCACTTTGGTGTGGGGCAAGTCAGGCAACTTGTGGCAACCTGTGTTGAGATGCTGCAACATCTGAGGATCTTCCTTCAACCAGGTTTGATTCATCCTTCTGGTTCAGGGCCTTAACTTGTGCCTCTGTTGCCTTAGCAAGAAATTGCAACCTGTCTGCTACCAGGGATAAGTTAGGGTCCTGGAAAGAGGCCTATTAGCACGAGGATGACATTTTTAATGAAACCTCATTAACTGAATTATCAGCTTGGAACAAAGAGTCTGAAAACCACAGATCGAACATGTTGAGTCTCTGTGCGTGGGGGAGGTAGAGATACAGAATGGATTTCCAGAGGAGACTGGAGAGAGCAAAGCTTTGTCAGTCTTCAGGAGTGTCTGCAGCCTTCCCTCATCTTTGATTTAGCTCCTCCACCATAAAAAAAGGCTGATATTTATGCCACCAGCCCCTCTAATAGCAGAGGGCTGCCCCAAGAATGGCTTCCTATAGCTCAATGCAGGAGAAGTGCCAGGAACTCGGTTATCACTCATCTCTCTTAAGTTGAAAGCAATGCAAAGCTCATTGCACCAGCCCTTATGAGCCATTTTTGCCCACTGAACTCAAGGCTAAGACTCCCATTGATTTCAGTGGGCTTTGGCCATGGAAGAGTCATTTTGACTTTCCACAGTACAAAAGCATCATGGAAAGCCTCTGTTTGAACCTGGATGAAAGTACTGGAGAACAGATCATACAAGGTGATGGTGGTTTGTCCCTGGCTCAGAATATCTTTGTTGGAAACCTTAAGGCCTTGTTACACGTTGTACTTTGAGCCACGCAAATGTTGATTGGCTTAATGCTAGCTTGGACTTGGGAGCAGTCATACCTTAAGGCTCTATGCTTCTAGCTGGTGCCTAGCTCCCCTGGGCTAGCAAGGGGAGGCTGAAGCTGTCGCTGTCTTGCTGCAGGTTGGGTGGGAGCTGATGAGGGTAAAACCAAAGCAACTCCCATGAAACTGAATTAGCAGCTGGCCCCCGGGACCACTTCCATAAGGCTTGGTATTGGCGACACTTGATGGGATGGGAAACACTCCCATTTCTGGCAGGATGGCTGAGTTGCCCCCAGCTTCCCTCTGTGGGTGACTGTCCCTGTGATCTGGATCTGGATCTGGTCTGTAGTTTGCTGGAAGGCAGCCGTGCCTGCTCCAGTGCAGAGGGAGGAAGGAGGGAACATTGCAGAGGCAACAGAGATGGCCAAGTAGTCCCCCCCC